TGAGAAGCAGGGGATTCCCAAGGAGCTCACAGACACTGATGGGGTCCCTTCTGAGAAGTCCTGTCCACCACCACCACCTCAGGAAGCCTCTGCTTCAGGTCACAACAGTGTCATATTCAAGGGCTAGTCAGGCTTTCTCAACTCTAGAAACATCTGGAGCAAACACAAAACTATGGCCTTAAAGGAGTAGCGGTAGCCAAGGACCCAGCCGCAGGGTGGTTTCAACAAGCTCATTTCTGTGCTGCTCTGGGTTAGAAACCCTATCAGGCTCCCTCTGGAGCTGCACCAGGTCTAGGGGGTCCTGTGGCACCCAGGAAACCAGTAATCAGGGAAAAGAGGCCTCGGAAGCTCCCCAGCCACTCCTCTCCTCCCACCTCGAGAGGAGGCACATCCCAACCAGGACATGGACAGCCGGCCCCTGCGATGGCTGTTTGGTTTTTGAAGGAGAAATTTTAGGCTATTTAAACCCACTCTTCTCTCACCCCTCAGAAAGGTCACTGAACTCGTCTTTTACCCGATCATCCGAGGTTGAAGATGGAACCTGCTTCTCACCCAACTGCCCTGAGAAACAAAGAACAAGGCTCCCGTTACCCACGTGGAACACAGAAAGGCCTCACCTGCAAGGAGGCACGACTTGACTAGAAGGGAGCCTGGGGTCCCCGACCTTCAAGTTCCCCCCACCTTGGCCCCATCCCTGCCAAGGGTGCTACGTGGCCTCTGATCCTACCAGCCCCACATCCAGAAGCGCACAGGCAGCAGCAAGCATCAGAACCCCCAAGAGCAGCAGAACCAGAAAGCCCAGTTCTTCCACAGACTCAGGTCTAGTCCTCCTCACACAGCCTGGACCTGGGGGATGTTCTGAGACATTTAAAAAATTACCGTTGTTGGCCAGGCATGGTGGCTCACGCCTGTAATCCCAGTACTCTGGGCGACCGAGGAGGGCGGATCACCCGAGGTCAGGAGGTGGAGACCAGCCTGACAAACATGGTGAAACCCCTTCTCTACTAAAAGGAGAACCAATAACCGGGCATGGTGGCAGGTGCCTGTAGTCCCAGCTACCCAGGAGGCTGAGCCAGGAACAGGGCCTGAACCCAAGGGGCAGAGGTTGCAGTGAGCCACAATCACACCACAGTACTAAAGCCTGGGCGATAAGAGTAAGACTCTGTTTCAAATTAATAAGTAAGTATCAGAAAAGTATGGGAACTTACTTAAAAAAAAAATTACTGTTCCCTTGGCCGGGTGCAGTGGTTCACGCCTATAATCCCAGCACTTTGGGAGGCCGAGGCAAGAGGATCACTTGAAGCCAGGAATTCAAGACCAGCCTGAGCAAAATAATGAGAGCCCCATCTCTACTTAAAATAAGTTTTAAAAAGTATTGTTCTCAACGTACTGCACACAAGTTTAAAAAGCCAAGCAATTCTAAGATGTGACACTCACAACCCTGCCCCCTCCCCGAGGCCCCCTGAACCACACCATCTCATTTGTGCACCGTATCTAGCTGAATCATCTTAGCCATCTCAGGCAGCTGCATTTTTGTTTAGGACAGTCTTACTCTGTTTTGGGATAGTCTTGCTGGAGTGCAGTGGTCCAATCTCAGCTTACTGCAACCTCCACCTCCCAGGCTCAAGTAATTCTCGTGCCTCAGCCTCCAGAGTAGCTGGATTACAGGTGCACGCCACCACACCCCGCTAGTTTTTGTATTTTTAGCAGAGATGGTGATTCACCATGTTGGCCAAGCTGGTCTTGATCTCCTGACCTTAAGTGATCTGCCCGCCTCAGCCTACCAAAGTGTTGGGATTACATGTAGCTGCGATTTTTGGGAGCTCCACTGAGGACTCAAGGTCAGAGCTAAGTGCCCAGGTGGGACAGGTGCACAGAGCACACGCAGGGCAAGAGGTTGGTGGGAAACTGGCCGCGGCCCTCCTAACACAACATCCAGGAGCAGCCGCACCAGCCCACGGTGCTGAGGGTTCTGGGGCCCAAACAAGAGCTCTGTATTTCCCCTCAGCCTGTCAGCAAAGAAAGCTGCGCCACAATGGCCCACACCAGGGCGCCACCAGGCAACTGTCTGAGTGCCAGGAAATGACCTGCAGCTGGCCCAGGGCAGCAGCTACAAAGGCAGTGGCCGCTCTCTCTCCCACGTCCACAGACAAGGCTCCATTATTCTCTTCCTCAGTCCCCTCAGCTCCAAGCACAGGCTTAAAGACTAGACAGCTAATGAACACGTGTCTCTACGGAAACTGCAGGAACTGAGCTCTGCTCATGAGATAGGCTGGCCACCCCTCCCTGCTCTTTGGATGTGGTAAGCTGCCCCGGGCAGAAGCCCCAAACCGCCCCGGCACCTTCTGACACCACACCACAGCCACCACCCAGAGCAGTGGAGATATCCATTTTCTGCCGAAAACCCTGCCCCACGGAGGAGCACAGACCCTGGTCTAGCACTGGCATGAGGTGCCTCCTACCTGGGGCCCCGCAGAGGGGCAGGCTTGGCTGAGGTGGGAAGCCCCGCCTGGGCCCTGCCGGGTTGCTCTCTGAAGGAGGCTGGGCCGTGTCTGTGCCGGGCAGGGTCCTGGTCTCAGGACCCACTGGGGTCCCTGTCCCTCTGCCCTGGGAGGTTTGAGGGGCGGCCCCAGGGTTGCAGCCTCGGTGCTGGGGCAGCCGTGGCACCGTCTCCTTGTCCCATGGCCACCTGACTGCCAGTGTACTGTCCAGGAAGAAGGCCTTGCAGCTAGAGCTGGAGTCCATGGTGTAGTCGTGGCCCTGGTCACAGCCCCACACAGCCTGGATGATGCCACAGTACTCAGAGGACAGCGTCCTCTGAAGGTGGGGCAGGGCCCTGCAGCTGGCCGCATGTCCGTGCACCCACCCCACCAAGCCGTGCAGGCACTGGGGGCTCGATGTGATCAGATCCACTGCAGAGAGTCAACAGAGATGTCAGTTCCATGGCTGGCCAGCATCCAGCCCACCGTCCACCATCCACGGGGGGAGGACTCACCCAGACACGCTCCCTCCTCTGCCCCTGTTGGGGGCTGGGCACCGACCCTGCAAAGATCAGTGTGGCCATGAGCAGGACCAGCAGGCGGAGACTCACGGCGCTCCCCATACAGGAGCTTGAGGTCTCAAACCAGCGGTCCCCACAGGGAACCCTCTCCTCTCCCCTCCCCGCAGCTCCCCCGGCTCGCTCACATCGGTCCCAGGGTATTTGTACTGAGCTGGGCATGGCCCATTCCCCCACCCAGAGGCTCCCGCCGAGGCTCGCCCTTGTCCCTCTCTCAACACGTGTCACTCCACAGTGCTGACGACCTGAACGTGACCTAAACAGGCTAGGGCGTACTTTGCACAAGGCTTCCGGTGGCCCGTCGGGGAGACATTGATCCTCTGCAGGAAGGACTTGAGGAGGCTGTGGCACTGGTAGAACTGGGTGTGGCAGCTCTTGCAGACAAACTGAGATAAGCTGGGGTCCTGGCGGACAGCTACGCCCAGCAGGCGCTGGAAGTCCCTGACGAGGACGCGCTCCCCTGCAGACGGCCTCTCCACGCTGGCTCCGGGCGCCCTCTCGGAGATGCTGCGCAGGCTTCTCGAGGAAAACTTCCCGTGGCAGAGGCGACAGTGCCCCATAGTGACAGCCTGGCCTGCTGCACAGAGCGGCAGGAAATATTAGCAGCACGCAAAGGAGGAGGCTCCTGAGCGCGGGGTGTCCTGGACTCGGTCCGAGCGCCATGCCCGCACCGCCCTCCTCAAGGCCCCGGGACAGACAGCCGCCCTGCGGGTGACGTGGCCGCTGGTCCAGGAAGTCTTCCAAAGAGCTCTGAAGGCCGCCAGGGCGAAGCGACCTCGCGAGTGAAGCCTGGAGCTGCACCCTCCTCCCCGCGACCGCGCGCCCGGGGCAGGCGCTGCGCTCTCCAGGAAACGCAGCGGTTTCCCGTCTGCCCAGTGCGGACGCCGCCACCTCCTCTCCTGCTCCCGACAGGACCCGAGGCCGGGGAGGGCGACCTGCCCGCGGCGACGGCGCCTCTCACGCCGGGTCCCTTCGGACGGAGAGCGCGCGCCGAGGCCGCGCCGGCTTCCGGGCAACTCCGCCCACCCGCGGTCCCCGCCGCGACCCCCGCCCGCCCCGTCCGGGCCCGGACGCACCTGCCTCGTCCGTGCCGTCCTCGCCCGCGCCGTCCTCGCCCGCGTCCCCGCAGGCCCCCGCCGGGCCCCAGGCGCGCCGCGCCGCCGCCCCGCCCACCCTCGGCCCGCCGCTGCGGGAGGGGCGGCCCCGAGCCCAGCCGTCGCCGCCGCCCGACGCTCCGCGCTGCCGGCCCGCCCCAGCGGACAGGAAGCGTCCCAGCCGGTCCCGCTTCCCAGCAGCGGAGAACGGACGCCACCGGACCCCGCGGGTGCCGCCGGGTGCTGCCCGGCCCCGCTCGGCCCCGCCCGGCCCCGCCCGGCCCCGCTCGGCCCGGCTCGAGGTTCCCGAGGACCAGCGTTCGGTCCTCCAGGCGCGCTGGAAGCGAGGCGGGCCAGGGGCGGGGCGAGAAGCAAAGCGAGGCGGGCGGGGCGCGAGGCGGGACGGGGCGGGACCCCGCCGGCCGAGGTTCCACCCGCGGGGCCCGCACCCCCGCTCGCACCGCGCCCCTCTCCGGCCCGAGGGCGGCCCCCTCTGCCCGCCGCTGCCGCCCACGGGGCGCGGGCCTGGGGCGGGGCACTGAGCGGAGGGGCTCGCCGAGACCTCACGACGAGCCCTCCAAGCAGAGGCAACCGGGGCCGCCCCGCCTCTTACCGTGGGGGACGTGGGCGCGGGCGGGCGGGCGGGCGCCGGCCGAGCGGCCGAGAGGGAAGCCGGGGTCTCACGGAGAGGGAGGCCGGGCTGCCGCGGTTAGACGCCCAGGGCAACTCCGGGAGGGGCCCTTCTCGCCCGCCCCGTCTGGAGGAGCCGCCCGAGATCCGTCGCCCCCGCCGCTGACACCCGCGGGACCTGAAGTACGCGCGGCGGGGCCCGTCGCCGGAAGTGCGCTCGCCTCCCTTCCGGCGGTCCGCTGCTCCGGCGGCTTCCGCACCCGCGCCCGCTGCGTTCCGGGATCCCGCCCGCCTGCCCCGCCCCTCCGCCGCCGCCGCCGCCGCCTCCCCCGCCCGGCGTCATGGCCGCTGCGGCCGGGGACGGCACGGTAAAGCCGCTGCAGAGCGCCATGAAGCTGGCCAACGGGGCCATCGAGTTGGACGCCGGCAACCGGCCCCGGGTGAGGCGGGGCGGGGGCGGGGCTTGGCCGCCGGGGTGGCCCCTGGAGAGACCCCCGCCCCCGGAGGGCGAGGACGGGGCCGGCGCGGGCTGGGGACGCGGGGGCGGGCGCCAGCGGGGACCCCGGACCGCGGTTCCCGGGCGAGGGTGGGGCGGGGCGCGGCGGGCGTCGCCCGGGCCGCGTGCGGTGACCTTGGGCAGCGCAGCGCCCGCCGCCTCGCCTCCCCTCCCGTGGCCGGGCCGCTGCCTCCGAGCCGGGCTCCACCTGTGCGGGGACGCGGGGCGGGCCCGGGCGACCCTCCGGACCCCGGGTGGCGGGCGGCGCCTGCGCTCGTGCGGATCCAGTGCGGCTGCCCCGGGGCGGCCTCCGAGGGGCGGCATCCCGAGGAGGCCGCAGGCCCGCTCCCCGGCGACGCTGTGTGCCGTCGCCGCCCGGGAGCCCCGGGAGGGAAGCGCAGGCCGAGGGGTGTGGTCCGCGCCCGAGACGGGCCGAGGCCAAGGTGAGGAGGAGGGAAGGCGCCCGCCTGTGCCCAGGAGACGCCTCCTTCCCGAATCCGCTGCTTTCCCCAAGCGGGTTTTTAGGGCCGCGGGGCCCCCACACATCAGAAATCCTGCCTGGATTACGTTTGTCTTTCTCTCTGAGGCACCGACTTCATTAACGATAGGTAACTTAACACCTAGGGATCAAACAACAAAAACACACCGTATTGCCGGCGCGGTGGCTCACGCCTGTATTCCCAACACTTTGGGAGGCCCAGGCGGGCGGATCACGAGGTCAAGAGATCGAGACCACCCTGGCCCACAGGCTGAAACCCCGTCTCTACTAAAAATACAAAAAACATCAGCTGAGCGTGGTGGCGCACCCCTGTAATCCCAGCTACTCAGGAGGCTGAGGCAGGAGAATTGCTTGAACTCGGGAGGCGGAGGTTGCAATGAGCCGAGATCGTGCCACTGCACTCCAGCCTGGGGGACAGTGCGAGACTCTTGTCTCAAAAAAAAAAAAAAAAAAAAAAATCGAGACCGTCCTGGCCCACATGGTTAAACTCCATCTCTAAAATACAAAAATAGCCAGGGTGGTGGCGCACGCCCGTAATCGCAGCTACTGGAGAGGCTGAGGCAGGAGAATTGCTTGAGCCCGGGAGGCAGCTGCAGTGAGCCGAGATTGCACCACTGCACTGCAGCCTGGGCAACAGAGTGACACTCCATTGCCAGTGAGTGAGCCAGTGCCCGGCCACCTAAGCTGTCCCTTTAGTGGTTTCCAAAAACCACTGAAACAAACAAACAAACAAACAACAGCACACTGTGTTCCTGATGATCTTTGCCTTGCTGGAGGGGGGCCGCACAGCCTTGAAACACAACAGCCAAGTGTTCTAGGCTCCTGCGTGCATGGGGAATACTTAACTCCGGTTCTGGGAAAGGGATTTCTCAGAAATTAAGCCAGGAAGTGATCAAAAAACCTGCAGCATCACTCCTCTGTGTCTTCTCAGGAAGTATGTTTTAAGCCCCTGATTGAATCGCCCTTGAGCTGCACAAGAAGGAAACTAGTTTCACAGGGTAAAAAATGACAGAAGCTGCTGAAGTCACTTCCCCGGGCCACTAATTGAGAACCCCAGCTCCTGTGCTGGAGAGAAAGGCAGTGAGAGGAGGAAGTGAGGTCCAGGTCATCCCTGGCTCTCTCTCAGGCCCCCACTTCCTTTCCAAGTCTGGAGGGCTGTGAACTGCCTGTGCCATGGGCAGGACACCACTGATCAGACCACCGAGGCTTTCCAGCTGCAGCCCCTCACTGAAGGCTACGTGTCTCTGGGTGCAGCTTAGAGATAAGCAGGTGGTGGTGTTCCTTGCTTATCCCGCAAGTGCACCAGGCAGGAGAGATGGAGTCACTCCCCTCCACTGGCCTGACCCACTTCTCTTTCCTGAACACAGGAGGCATACACGGAATACCTGAGGAGCATCCACTATATCTCCCAGGTGCTACTGGAAGAAGTGGAAACCACTAAAGGTACAGCTCGGCTAGCCGGGCACTGGCTCACTCACTGTCATCCCAGCACTTTGGGAGGCCTAGGTGGGCGGATCACCTGAAGTCAGGAGTTCGAGACCAACCTGGGCAACCCCTGTCTCTACTAAAAATACAAAAATTAGCTGGACATGGTGGCAGGAGCCTGTAATCCCAGCTACTTGGGAGCCTGAGGCAGGAGAATCACTTGAACCCAGGAGTGAGCGGAGATCATGCCATTGCATTCCAGCCTGGGCGACGAGCAAAACTCTCTCTCAAAAAAAAAAAAAAAAAATATATATGGCTCAGCCTTGCCACTCCCTCCATGCTGGACAAATTGTGGGCAGCATAGTCCTTGATGGGCACCGGGCTTGGGGGATCTCCTGTATCCTTCCAGTCTGACCGGTGGACTGGCCTGCACTCAGTGTGACATAGTGACAGGAAGGGGCCAGTGTTGTGGGTAAGGTGGCGATTGGGATGTGAGAAGACATGGGTTCCAGTGTGCTGCACAGAAGCAGGGCAGCATTCCAGCACTGGAACGTGCAAAGGCCCTGAAATCAGAGGCGCAGGGTGGGGCTCTGTGCCTGCCTAGGGTGGAACTGGAGCCGTTCTGGTGTGAAGGGAAACTGGAAGAGGCTTTGAGCTTTGAGGGAGAGGCCAGCCTGGGAGTGGAGCTTCAGGGGAGGACTGAGGACGGCAGTGGCCAGACCACCAGGGATGGGAGCAGTAAGCGGCCTGGGAATGTACCTTGAAGTTGGATCACAGCAGACTGCAGGCACGGACTGGCGAGGGGGCAGTAGAAAGCTCCACAATGATTGTTCTCACTTCACACACAAAAAGAATATATATATCAAAAAAAGGAAGTTCGCCGGGTGCGGTGGCTCAAGCCTGTAATCCCAGCACTTTGGGAGGCCGAGGCGGGTGGATCACGAGGTCAGGAGATCGAGACCATCCTGGTCAACATGGTGAAACCCCGTCTCTACTAAAAAAAAATACAAAAAATTAGCTGGGCATGGTGGCGCGTGCCTGTAATCCCAGCTACTCAGG